TGGAATAATAAAATTATGCAAGAATGTTGGGAAAAGCAGTTAAAAAATAAAAAATAAAAAATAAAAAGCAAAATGACTCCAAATAAATCATTCTTCAACATAATCCAAAAAAAAATCTATAACATTCAAGAAATATTAAGCAATGTAAAAAGTATTCGCGGTTCTTCCCATCACTGGGTGGTGTCAGTACCCATATATCTGGCAACAATAAACAGATTATGTTAAACAAACACGGTTTTGAAAGGTGACATTTCGGACTACATTGTTTTGTGAAGATAATTGTGTAAATTATGGCTCGTGTTAAAAGCCAATGGAATTTTCAAACTCGTGCACTTAGACCTACACGCAAGCTGTCACGAGGTAGCGGAGACATTGAACATTTAAATAGAGTACTATATAAATCAACGCAAAGAAATTTGATTGACCTAGTTGCCATCACTAAAACGCTGCTGAATCGCAATGAAAAGAAATCATTTTTAAAGATAATCATTAAGTGTGATGAAAATTGGATTAAATATTATAATATTTAGCGCACACAATAATGGTTTCAAAACTTTATCAACGGAAATAAGATTAAGCATTTTGTGCAATTGGAAGCGAATTGTCTATTATGAGCTACTCTAGTCTGGTACAATGGTTAGTTCGATTCTTTACTGTTCATAGCTCTTGATAGAAACAATCAAGAAGAAGTGAGCAGAATTGGCCAACATATAAGGATTTGTGTTCCATCATGATATGGCCAGACTACATAAATCTTTGACAACTCGAAACAATTTGACAGGATTTGGTCTAAAAGCTTTGATGCATCAACTTAACTTTATATTATTAATGAATGTTTTTTGAAATTTTAAATCTATACGAAATTAGTGTAAAAGGTTTTGAAATATTTAATTTTTCTGTCTAATTTCTATGCGATCAGAATTTAAAAAAAGAAATTAAATTTATTTATATTCTTTATTAGTATACCTATTGGGTTCTAATTTCAGTAGTACTAATTTTAATATAATTATAGTGAATAAAGATAAAAAAACAGTATATGTAAATTGAGTGCTTTTAAATCTAAAACCTTAGGATAAAATCTTAGGATTTAATTCAGATACTCAGCATATTCATTAATTTTACAAAGGGTTCGTTGACAGTTACTGTCGGTTAGAAAAACAAGCCGAGGGATTGAATATATTACATTTAATAACTTTTCATTAGCTGAAAATTTACAGATGACATAAGTTCAATGTATTTTAAACATTTGAAAAACTCACTTTCTGTAGGAACTCAGACAGTTAAATACACATCATTCCTCTCCCTAAACTTTCGTATAATTAAATCTTCGAAGTAATTTTAAACTATCTATAGCTTAACAACAACACAATACGACAACAAGGGTAGGGATCACCCTATAAACCGAACTTAACAAAAAAACTAACTGTGAAAAGGCAATTTTTTAATATACAAAATCGTGTGTGTGCTTTATATAAATTTTTCTATAAATTTCCAAATGCAGCAAATTAGCATGAAGCTTATATTGCTTAACTGTTAAAATTAACGCGTTTTTCTTAAATCCACATTCTGGAAAGTACTTTTTCCAATTCTATGTAATAGAGTTTTTATCTTCATAATCAAAGGTCACAGAACGAAATAAATCTCTGAGTTGGAATTGCTTTTGCTTTAAGTTGATTACCCATTTTAGCTTTTTAACCTAGAATCAAACTCAATTTATGTAGTATTTCTGCCATACAAATAATTTGCAACATAACATATACACTAAGCAATAATTTATCTGTTGCAACAACAAAGGCAAAACACCTACAAGGCATAAGCAGGAGTTCTATTGGAATAGAAAAAAAAAAAAATAAGAAACAAAAAAAAACTGCATTGAAAAAACTGTTAATGCAACAAATTATGGCTTTATTACTACACAAATTATTCGAAAAGAATTGCATTCTGAGTGCATTTGTTAAGAGCGCGATGCTACCGCAGAAATACAGAAATATAGAAATGCAGAAATGTAGCACTTAAAATCAATTGAAATTGCGAAATCAAAGTAACAGTCCAACAGTGCAACAGTGCAATCCTGATATATGGGAGGAGGTGCATACCAGCCTAATGCTGAATGTTATTTAAAACTAATTTATTTCAACAAGCAAATCGAAAGCAACAGAACCATTAAAAATAAATTCGAGCAGTTCGGCACACTCAAATAATCAGAAATAAGACCTGAAGCGGTCAGTTGTGGACATAGAAACATACAATCCCCCTATAGGCACAGTTATCATTAAACACCTCGATTTGATGCAATCAACTGCATTACCAAATACCGATAGCGATCGCCGCAGCTAATAAAAGCCTTGCCAGCGAGCAAACCTAGTAGCTTCAAAACACATTAACAATGGCCAATAGAAGAAATGGTTAAAATGGCTAAATGAGAAAAGAATACGAAATCGGCAACAATTGCTGATGTTGTTGTTGTCGTTGTTATTGTTGTAATTTTTCTAATATGCAAGCAAGCACACACAATTTAGGCATGCTCTCCTCCTTCCAACCTTGTTGCACTGTTGTAATAGCAAAAAATATATAGGCCAACTAAAAGGTTACCGATTGCAGCCGCGCTTCTCAAGGTGGTTCGTAGTGGCTTACACAATGATATTCCGCCAACGCATTTATTGAGTTGCCATTCCTGTGTTTGAAAATCAAATCAGTGAAAAAAATATTTAAAAAAAATAAAATAAAATAAAATGTTGTAATGGAAATAACTGTTCTTGTGGCTTACTGCTCCTGTCGCTGGAATTGACTTTTGCGTACTGTACAATGTATCATGCTGCATGCGGCATCCAACATCCATCGACAGCTTCTATCGGCTACATTTTGCTACCAAACTCCATTTAAAAAAGCTTCGCGCTTTCAATCGATTGCATATTATCAGCAATTTTATTATAAATCGACTGAAATGATTTATTGAATTTTTTTAGCAGCCGTAATACAATGGCTTACCGCGGTGGGTGAAGAAGTGCGAATTGGCTTTAACGTATTTGAATAGCCTTGCCAGAAAAAAACTTATAAAACGACCGTTAACTGCACAATTGCTGCATTATTGGATTGGTAAAAGAGTATAATCCCAGAAATATTGATGCGATCACAGTCATAGAAATGCACAGTTTGATTAAAAGAAGAATTTTATGTATATGGACGACTACTTTAAATACAATATTATAGATTTAATGAATTCTATAGGTCTTCTAATATATCAACAGTAGAACGTCGCTACGATCTTTTTAGAAATTAAAAATATATAAAGAGAACAATTTATGGAAGAATACGAGTATAAAACTTTATATACATACAACTTAAAAGTTTAGGTTGATTTTGCTACTGCTTTCGTTATTATACCTAATCAGGTAGATAGGTTGGCGAAGTCTAAGAAGGTCGATTTTTCTAAAGCACTTTATATTTCACATTCTTTGTAATGTATGGGAGAAACCAATTGTCTTGCTGAATGTTGGTATTAAGCTTATTTCTAAACTGGAGATGATACGGATTCATTTACGTAATAGCGTGTTATATGCTATAGTCTTGCCATTTATATATATCTAAATTGTGTCGAAACCTATTTTAGTGCATGCTTCTCACATACTAGTATTATGATTTGCAGAAGTTGTGATGGGGTTCTATAGTTTAGCCCATGAGTATCGACATTATTTTATAAATTTCCATTTTATTTCCTCTAATTAAGTTTAGAACTAGATAAGGTGTTATATTGTTCTTAACATTGATGCTTTAAAAAGATTTGACCAATTCTTGTTGATTTGTGTTGGAAAGTCATAATGAATTTATTTGTGCCCAGTAGAATTTTGAGTTCATTTTGTAGATTGAAAGTGGTATGTGATATTTATCATTTTTAAGATATTTAGGGAGTTTTGACTGCTGGGTTTTTTTTGTAGCAGATTTTTCTCTTTGTTCATACCGGTTGATAATAAAAATGTGCCCTATATAATTTGTTTTTTTATTTACTTGTATAAATAATCACTTCCTGTTTGTATATACGCGCAATTCACATTAACTTCTACTGAAACTTCTACTCAAAAAAAACATGATTTTATTAAACATAAAGAACAAATTTAATATGAACTAATTGATAAGATGTTTTTACTGCAAAAAATCATCTGAGGAAATCGATTACGTGATCAATTTCTTAAACCAGTTTCCAATGGCGGTACTTGACTCGATATAATTAAATTATGAATTGCATAATATTTTTTTGCATCGAGTTTAAATTACGCATAAATGCATGCAACATGATATGCGAAAAGGAAGAATTTAGATTTCAGAAACAACATAAACAACAGACACATTTCCTTGACCGATCAAATAATTGTCACAAACCGCGCAGACTTCAAGAACCTGCATCTCTTCCTGTCGTACCCAGAAACCAACTCAACTCACAGACACGTTTACCACGATATGAGAGTTGAATTTTAATTTGCATGCTGCCGTCGAAACGCTTCAGAAGTAATCATAACAGTACACGTACTACTTTGTAGCTTCTTTCACATTATCTTATCGACAAGGCAAAGAGCTCTTAACTATGTCAGTCAACATGTTTTCATATCTTAATCACAGGAAATTTGCGGTTCTCACCAACTCCAATGCTAATTTGATGGCAGGCAAAAAATTCAAATGCAGTGCAAGGCCTATGAATGAAAGGTTAAAATCTTAATGAAATCTCAGTGAGGCACGCAGGTGATTAAATGCTATCGACAGTGGATTTCTTGTACAACAACACTTTAGCACAGTAATTGCTGTTATCACGTTAATAGGTGAGAAGGTGTTCAACTAGGAATTTTGCGCCTTCATGAGGAAAGCACTAAGAAGTGTATCTGCGTATCTGCACATTTAAACGATATTTTTTTAACAGCATTTCAAAATAGTTTCTTTGTTTTAATGGAGAGTCCACATATTGATCAACACAATTACAGCAGAATTTTGCTTTGATTTTTTTCACTTACCGGCATGTGAATTCATTTTCTCCCAAGCACAATTCCAAGCAATCACGTCTCGATGTCACTGGCAGGCTGCGTCTTGCATGTCCATTCAACTTGTAGCCCTGCACACGATCCACACACCAGGCACGTGCGCATGGACGTACCCCCAGACATGTTTTCTGCGCATAAATGGTGAAGACTGGGAATTGAGATTTGGTCAGTGCACCTGTACGATGAAGATATTTGAAATATTTATTTATTAAATATTATTTTGATTCTTTATAAAGTATTATGAAATATTTTTAAAATTGTATCTTATAAATCAAAATTACTTTGTATCTGCCAAAGTTCGAATCCGAAATGAAAATTTATTATTGTTTAATGGCAAAAATTACTACTGCGGCTACTGTTTGTCCGGTACGAAGGTACGAAGGCACAAAGGCAAATGCCCAGCTAAAAGCGAACAGAAAAATGGAGCTAACAACTTAGCAGTCTGACTAATTCTATGTTAGCTTCATTAGAGGTGTTGTTAGTCTTTAGACATGGAAAAAACCGTTCGAAACTACAAATTAAAATGTTTTTCGGCAACGAGCTTTCAATTAATTTTAATTCACGCTGCGCCCAAATTTTTTGTGCTGTTTGGATTGCTAGAAGCGTAGCTTAACGCGTAAATTAGCTGAAATTCGTTTTGCCAATTCATTGGGAATTGAAGTCCCAGTCTTCTCAACTTTTGCGTATAAGTATAAGTCATTGCAGCAACAAAAATATTTATTTCATGGCATGAATTGTAACACCTTGTCTTATTATTTTATAATGATTTTCGATTAACTTCAACTATTTTTATGGGTTTGTAGTGTATATGAACTTGAATTTATTGTTATTCTGAATATCTGATGTATATAAAATATCGCTAACAAAGGCGTAATACATTAAGTAATTTATACTTGTTTACGTGGGTATAGTATGTTATAAATTTAATTTACATTAAAATTTAAGATATACCTTCTGCTCTAAAAGTATCCGGATTTTGTTGTTTGTTAATTACTCCTTAAGTAATAGACCTCTTTCAAAAATCTTTTTGTTATATTGGTATACCCTTTCTTGATATATGGTACAAACTTGAACGCCATCTGTCAATTAGTTTGTTTACAACAGCTGTTAATGTGAGACTACCTCAAGTGCATTTAGCGACTATTCGCCAGATCTGGCGCTGTGCGACTTTTTCCTCTTCCCGAAACTCAAATTGCCCCTTCGTGGTAAGCGAGTCGATTGAATCGGTAAAAGAGAATTCGCCGAAGGAACTAAATGCCATATCTGCATGGGCCTACGAAAAGTGTATGGAAGATTGGGTTAAGCGTTGGCATATGTGTATCGCTTCAGAAAGAGCATATTTTGAAGGAGATAAAATAAATTTGGAATAAAACTTAAATTTGTGTGTTTTATTCACAAAATCCGGGTACTTTTTGAGCTGGAGGTAACACGAATAGTGTTATAAGGTACAAAAATTCATTTCTAATAATTATTATTCAATAAAATTTGTACTATCCATCATTTGTACTATCCATCGCCTGTTGCACTAAAGAAAGCACCATTTATCTTGCTTTCTTTAAATGGAGTATTAATTCTTATATCTTTCTTATTTTATTCATTTTTTTACTGAATGAGTACTCTCTTTATATATTGGAAATAATTTTCTTCCTATGTGATCTTGCATGTTATTAATATTTAAATATATCATATTCTCTTTTTTGAAAATAGCCGGTTTATCAACCACAGTTCTATTTTTATACAAAAGATACACTTAACTGTATTATGTTGGACTATTATATTTTCACTCAAGAGCTGATGCAAGAATAATGCAAGAATATTTTGATATCTTAACTGAAAAATATTGTCAACACATATTTTAATCAACGATTCATCCACATATATGCGTATGCGTCTGAATAATACCGCTGTGCATTTATAATTATTCATTAAGACCTATTAGCCACTGTAGCCTATATAATAATATTAAGTGAATTCCTCATAATCTGTGCTGCCCATGAGGCATGTAATTGCAGACATTCTCTGCTGTACTTGTAGCTACGGCTACAGCTCATTTTCGAAATATCTTTAAATAATTATGTCTTCGTTAGCTGTCTTAACCTATAACTAATATTTAATGTAAACAAAACCAACCTGGTAATTTATCTGCATTTGCTGAGAATAGCACACATAAGCCAGTTTCATAATTAACCGCATGACAAGTTTCATTGCTCTGACATGCCTCCAAACAATCAGTCAACATCAGAGTGCCTGGCAACGAGTCCAACAGCTTACCCGGTGCTGAGAAAACATATCTGCAATGAGATGAATAAACATAAATTGAACATTATTTGCTGAGGAATAAATCTGTAAGATACGTGTTAGCTGCCTCTTTGCCTCTTTGCCTCTACTTCTTAACTCCTAATTTAGTTATTCTTATATACATATATATTTTTTTTTGCGCTGTAATGCATAATTAAAGTAAATTTAATTTGTGTAATTGTAACTTCGTTTGTTGAGTTATGATTGATAATGTCGTGGCTGTGAGTTGTGGTTACTTGTATGCTCTTTCAGCAGTTGTCTTTGGACAACTGTTGGTCTCTGGTATTTGGGATGTTCTAAGTATAATTAATAAAATAACTGCACAGCATTACATGACGAACTGAAATTGCCATTGCCTGTGTGGTCTACATAATCTTCAGGAAACAAACGGTAAATACATTAAATTCTTATTAAGTAAAAGCTGTACTTCTATCATTTAATTAGTCAATGTCAATATTAATGGGTCCGCTATGAAGGAGTAGGATGAAGTACATTTCCTTTCAGATAAAGCTAGTTGATTTTGAATTGGCTACTTTATTATTTGTCTGGTTTTTCATTGGAAATAGTTTACACCGATTTCTGTTTCTGAGTAGATAAAAAGTTATTTTATATTTGAGAAAGGATAGCAAGCCAGTTTAAGTTGTATATTTGTTGTTATAAAATATAACATTATGAAATATAACATATGAAATATAAATATATAAAAATATTTATCTCCTAAAATTTGTTGTAAAAATATTCTTAACTATTTTTTATCTTCTTCTTGCAGGTAAGCTCCAAATCCAAAACTAACATTTTGTTATTGGTAATGGCTACATGGCTACATGGCGAAGTTACTGTAGCCATAATGTGTACTCATAAATTAGATGTAACTAGTTTTCTTACGTATATGGTAAAGTATGCATTTGTATCTCTATAATGTAAGTGGACATAGTGCTACTCCATTACGGATTTGCAATTTGTCCTTTTAGCACATACACGCAACTATTTTCGTCAAAGTATTTAAAACTTGTGTTGCAGCATCATTGCAGCAACATATGTTGTGAGTTTTTATGACTCCTAAGGGATTGTAGGCTGTCGCTTAGTAGAAAAGAGTTATTGCTGCAATTTCTGCGAATCGACTTTTTATTGAAGTGAAATAACTTTATGATTGCAGATTGCAAAAAAGTGTTAAAAGAAACTTTCATTGTAAGTGGAAAAAATCTGTGTAATAAAGCAAAGAGATGGCTTTTATAATTTATGTCGACCATAACAAATTTTATTTAAAAAAATCGTCTGTGTTTATCAGTATATCGTATTAAAATAGTATTAGCAGATAGGAAGTCTGTTAAAGAGAATTTCTATTTTTTCTAAATAGATTTTTTAACTACTATCTTCTCTCAAACTATACTATTCTTTCCCTACCTTTGCAAGTCATTTGATTTGACATTTGACAAAAATTTTATTTATAAAATTAAAATAAAAATAATTTTGAGTTCGTTCTGATTATTTTCATCTTTTCTGCTCTTCTCCTTTAATTTTAATGCATATCATCTCCATTATGGGCTTTATTATTAAAACTTTAATGCTATTATCATTGTGGCAGCGATTGTAATGCCGCTAATAATGCCACTTCTCTATTGAGAGCAGATTTTGTTTTTATTTATTTGGTGCCTTCCAGCTGCCACGTAGCTTTTGCATGCCTTGTTCGGCACTTGGCAAGCTGCACAGAAGTTATAAAAATAGTTCTTTAATTCTTTAGAAAACATCGGATAATTAGTATTACCTTTTTGGTCGCTTGCTTTAGATTACCAGTTTATGATGTGTATTAGCTTTGCATGCTTGCCGAGATACGTGCGAATATGTTTGCTCTAATTTACATTCAACTTATGTTAACTAAGATAGATTATGGATGAAGTTGAATGTTCACTTGATTGGAAATTGTAGAGGATTTGTAGAGAAGCTCCTTCCTTGCACAGAGAACAAGACTGCTAATTGTAATTGAAATTGGCTTTGCGAATGTGTATCTTAAATTGAACAGCAACCGAGTTGCTTTAGCATGTTTAGCACCTTTTTTTTTTAATAGGGTTTTTGTGCTTTTTAGTTTTTAGTTCAGTTCTTTTCTTGATATACTCGTACATACCTATATTTATTGCTAGATGGAATTACCAACAAATATGCTTTGCAAAATTTAATGGTTCACATCATATCATAGAAGCAGTAGCAGTAAAGTATATACTCTATTCAATACTCCATTAAAAACTTTAAAATTTAATCTGGATATATACAAATAAGTGAATGAAGAAATAAAAGCCAAAATTTCGTCTTTCTTTATTTTTACTATCAATTTTTAAATATTAAGGTCCTGAGATATTTTATTTCTTTTTATTAGGAATTTCGATTTTGAGCTACGGTATTCGATCTACGGCATGTTGTTACTAACTTGCAGAATAATATTGTATTTCGTTGCACGAATCTAGCATTTGATCTGATCTGCATTGAAAAAATACATACATTTTTAAGAATATCTTTAGTTAGGGGTACTATGCTCAAGATGTTGTAACTTTCATTCATGGACTTATATATGCACTATCAGAAAAGTGTTCGTCCTTGTCAATAAGATTTATTAAGGTAAAAAGGTTAAAAGTTTTCTTGTCAAACTCTGTCGTAAAGATATACGAAGTATTTATTGTTTTTATAATAAACTCTAGGCATCCAGGAATAAAATTTTCCAAAATTAAAAAACTATTTTAAGCTACAATAACATCCGAACCCATTTAAGTGCAAGCACATATTTGTTATCAAATAATAGGATATTCAATTGATCTATGAATTAGGATATATAGGATATAGGATATATAGACATAGTTTTTTTTATTTTTTAAGCTAAGCCATCATCTTTGCACTTTAGCGAGTATTTTAGGGGTATAATAATCAAAATAATCTCTTCAAGTTTCTGCAGAACTAGATAAATAAATATTGAGAAAAATATTGGATTATGATGATTTGGATTATGATTATGTATTTGATTGCAATGTAGATTGTAGTGTAGCGCACTGTTGATAACTCTATTGCCGAAAATATCGTTTTGTTTATTTTACCTTCATGTTTTGTATGCAATGTGTTGACATAAAAAATATGATGTTCTTAGGTTGCTGATGATGATGAAAATTGTTGAACTAATATTTGCTTAAGCAAAATATAATGACAAAACTAATAATAGCAGCAGCAGCAACAACATAAACAGCAACTCACCTAGTATTATTATCGCTTAGTGCATTATACTTGTCTGGTATTTAAACTATAAATTAAAGTGAAAAATAAACACAGAAACAGAAAAACTATAAAAATCCTCATTGGCAGGGACCCCACACTGCTCAGGCATAGAGAATGAAGCGAATTCAGTTTAATGGTGTAATGGTTGTATCAGTACTGTGTGTATGTATTTACCTTAATTAACACACTTACCCTGTTATAATTTCGAATCCAACCAGATCTGTTTCACATTCATCAACACCAATGCCGTCGACTGTACTCGACGAACTATCATCGTGTTCCAAATCATGAATATCAATGCCTGTTGGCGTTTCTTTTTCTTCCTTCAGTAATTTATTCTCGAATGTTATAGCGTCGGCGGCAGGCTTTACAGCTCCTGTAGCGCCTATTTCACCGGCTGTTGCAGATGCAGA